AAAAATGCAATGTTTTAAACTATTATTAAAATTGTCATTACCGGTATTCATCAAAAATCAAGGTCTCTTGTTCTAGGCATACAAGAACAAGGAACTGAAGAAACTTTCTTATCCAAACAACTGATGTCCATGAAAATCAATCAATCTTACCACCCTTGATTCAAAATTAACATTTCTTTTATATATTAGAATAAAGTATACAATAACAAGCAGACTCTCATCTGAGATGGCTCAACAAGAAGTCGAAAATTTACCAAAAATATACAAAATATTCACCAAAATAAGAGAATTAAAGATATCATCATGAAATGAATAAATCTAAGTGAGGTATCCAAGCAATCAGGCTAATATTTTTCAAGAAGAAGTTGACACAGACAATGGAAGATGGACAACCAATCATATGATAAGCTTCGCTCAAATCTATATAATTTTGAAGTACAAATTAAATGTATCGTCTACATTACTTGGTACAACTTTGAAAACAGAATCAATCATTACATGTTTTAGAATCATTAGAAACACAGATAAGAAATGCCACATTTACTACATTAGAAGCAAATCTCCAAATCATTGAAATATGTCTTATTTTGACTATAAACTCGCTCTGTCATTTACATTTAAGCATTAGTGTTTCTAATAGGGCAACTATAAAATTCAAATACATGGCTGCAAGCAGTGATCTCATTGGTTTACAGTGGCTATGCTAGAAATAAATCTATCATGAATAGATATTGATATTTTGGAGATGTATCTTGTCTGACAACTTCATTACTGTAATGGTTGTATGTCCCTATCTGCAACAATACTTGAGATATTACAGTGATGCTTAAAAAATAAGGTAACATAACCATATATGGTCATCTGTGTGTTTCAACCGAAAACTAATCAGGTCTGGACATTGTCGAAGAACTTCTATATACCAAGTCTCCTTGAAATGTGATAATTAGTTCTTGAGATGTCAGTGAATTATTATGCAAATTAGGTAATTAATATGTATGGCATTCCAATCCAAACCTTATCAGGTTGGTCATTGTTTAAAAGCATCTGTGTATTAAGTTTCATTGAAATCAGTTGAGTGGTTCTTGAGATGTCTATGGAGAAGCTGAAAATTAGCTATTAAATTATTATTTTAATTAATATGCATGAGAATCAATTAGCATTTCCATGAAGAAAAGGCGAAATGGCTGCCAGTCGACCATATTGGATCGCATAGTGTGCATCTGCAACCCAATACAAGTTTGACAATGGTATTGTTGGTGCATGTTGAAAAATTACAATTAATTACAATGCCTATTTCAGCAGTAGGACCATTTGAACAGTAAGACAGCAATATGAAGCATTGTGCATTCAGTAGAAATCATGATGCATTACATTGTCTGCAACTCAAAATACCACACCACAGTCATGCTGGTACAGCATAGTTGGCCACACTGATTGAGTTGGGGTCACTAACTGTTGATATAGTGTTTTCTACATTAATATTTGTTAGCAATTTTGTTTTATTTTTTATGTCTGTATTCCTCATGCATACAAAATCAGTGCTGTTTGACAATTGTACGGTGATACCATTTGTAATTTTTATTAAATGTGCCAAAATAAAGTAGTGTCTAGACATAACACACACTGACTCAAAGAAAGTCAGATACAATGTAGCCAGTGATTACTATAAACATTGTTGACTAGGTTACTTCAAATGTAAGAAGTCACACTGGCAATGTCTGGTGTTGATAAACAAGCACCATGCATTTGAAGACAGATCTTAATTGATACAATATTATACTGGCTGTATCTTCATAAGGCATACATGAGTGGAGGCACACCCTCCACACACAGAAGTATGGTTTGTCCAGAAAAATGGTTATTATGACTAGTTTCATAAAACAAAAAAAACCTGTTGCCCGTTGAGAATCTAGATAATAAATAACAAATAAAAATTCAATTCAAGAATGGATAACATTGTGCTTGCTGCCTGATATGATCTTTTAATTTTCATGTTTTCATTAATATTACTGTAACAGCAAAAATTCCAAAATTTTTCCCTTCTAGAAATTTGACTAAATAATTATTTGGAAAGAAAAATACCAGCCAGTTTATTGCGGAAAAAGTATTTGTCAATTTTGTTTGGCTGAAAAAATAATCTATACTACATAATAACAAATGATGATGTCAAAATAGCTCCCCTGTCTCACAAAAAACTTTAAGCAAAGTCATTAACAAGCAGCCTGTCGGCTGAGATAGCTCCGCTGTTAGCAATGCACATTACAACAAGCAGCCTGTCGGCTGAGATAGCTCCGCTGTTAGCAATGCACATTACAACAAGCAGCCTGTCGGCTGAGATAGCTCCGCTGTTAGCAATGCACATTTCAATTAAAGAACTGAAGACATCATTAGACAAGCAGCCTGTCGGCTGAGATAGCTCCGCTGTTAGCAATGCACATTTCGATTAAAGAACTGAACACATCATTAGACAAGCAGCCTCTCGGCTGAGATAGCTCAGCTGTTAGCAATGCACATTTCAATTGAAGAACTGACAAGCAGCCTCTCGGCTGAGATAGCTCCGCTGTTAGCAATGCACATTTCAATTAAAGAACAGAAGATATCATTAGAAAATGAACAATAAGTATAGTATCAAAGCAATGGGACTTGCTGTTTTCAACAAGAATTCAAAAATATCATTTTTCACCATAAATGATTGTGGTTTTTAACAAGAAGAAAATATCACTTTTTACCAAAAATGACAAAAATATTCACCAAAATTAGGGAATTAAAGATATCAGTACAAAATGAACAAATTTGAGAGTGGTCCACATGTAGTACCTACCGGTATAAATGTAATATCAAAGCAATTGGACTTGTCGTTTTTAACAAGAAGTCGAAAATATCACTTTTTACCAAAAATGACAAAAATATTCACCAAAATTAGAGAATTAAAGATATCATTACAAAATGAACAAATCTGAGAGAGTTCCACATGTAGTACCTATATATGTAATATCAAATCAATTGGACTTGCGGTTTTTAACAAGAAGTCGAAAATATCACTTTTTACCAAAAATGACAAAAATATTCACCACAATTAGAGAATTAAAGATAT